GCCCCTTCTGCTGAATGAGTAAGGGGTAGTTGTTACCCCTACTTATTCACCAAAATAAAAAAAGACAAATTGTAAATAAACACACCACACTGTAAACAAATTTCTTTATTTGAAAAAACACAAATGTTTTCGACAAGTTTTTTATTAAAATAAAAAACAACCCAAAAAATAGTCCAACAATGTAATCCAAAGGTCAATCATGTCGTCCAGCAATGCAGATCCATGTCAAAGAAAGCATGCCAACCGCAGACTCACCGAAAAAAAATAAACAGACACCCACCAACCTGTTCGATCCTGACGAACACCGCCGCAAAATGACACCTCTGACCCGAATGTCAACAAAGGGCAAAGTGAATTGTGATGTCACGGGACTTGTTTCATCCTTTTGTTGACATTTGGCAGCAAAGCTGTCAATGATAGTAGTTCTGCTCCCGAATGCTATTTGGGACTATATGATCGCTCTGCTTCTAAACCCAAATAGCATTGGGGAACTCCCAAATAGCATTCTGGAGCAGAGTATATATTTTTTTTCAAATAAAGGACTTTTGTTTAAGGTGTGGTGTGTTTATTTACAATTTGTCTGTTTTTATTTGGTGAATGATTAGGGGTAACAACTACCCCTTAGGCCCCATTCACACAGAGGGTGGTAGCTTTTCAGCGCAATTTTTGAAAGGGTAAAATTTTTGAAAAGTAAAAAAAGTTAAATAAATACAAATTAAACATGCAAGCAAATAAAAAAAATAAAGTTTATAAAATAACATTAAAATTAGAAAAAAACTTTTTTGGGTGTGTCATTTTAAATACATTTTTTTTAATTCTATTATAATCTTCTGAACAACAGGAACAGACAGCAAAACAAACGTGACCCTTCCCTATGCTATCCAAAACTAAAAAAAAATGTTTTTTTTTGGCTGCAGTTACACTTAAAAAATGTACCTGTTCCGAAATGTACAATAAACTTACCTTATGAATGGCTCATTTTTTATCCTAGCACTCTGTTATACTTTGCTGGTGGCTCCCACTAGGTAAATCCCTAAGTTGCTCTTTCAGCATGACCTCAAGTGAATAAGTGAATGAAATGATTTATAGACATTTCTATTGTCAGTATATTGTTTTTTTTTTTCTTTTAATACATGAAATAAAGAGATAAAATATGTTTCCTTAATGTTAATTATTATATTGGATATTTCAGAGGTGTAAATCTAGCACCGTGGCTTGTCAAACAGTAATGTAGAAACGTGTATTTTATTACCAAGTAATTCTTCATCGAAGAATCAGAGCTTAATGGCCCATAGAGAGATGAAACATATAGATACATAAATTACCTGCATGACCCACAGCTAAGACTGCTGATGTGCTTATCTAGAGAGCTGTCACACTGTGCTTACTTGAAATCTACAATGCTTTGGAAATTACATTAATTTATATGAACTTTGAAAATGTGTAGACCTTTTATATCATGTTTAGAATAATTTTATGGACTGATATTTTGTTTTCTGACAGTGAGGTAAAAATATATGAGTATAGCTTGGCCCATTATAGCATTAACAAATGTATTATTTACTGTATTTGCATGTATCCTTTAAATTACTACAAAATAAACAGAAGAGAAGAACATGGTGTGGCATTAGTGTAGGAGTTTAAGTAGCACAACTACAAACAAGTTCCAACACCAGGATGCACGTTCAGATTTTGTACCCCGTCTAATATTGCATTGACTTAAAGCGGACCTTTACACTCAAAAATCAAATTCTACCAATGCATCCCTCTATGTATGATGATTAATAATACTATAGACATGTCAGGTGTAAAATGCTGTAATTTTGAAATACTTACACTTGCAGAGCATTCACTTCTTGTTTTAAAAGAACAAAATGACTTCAGTTTGCTAAAGCAATGCACACTGGGAATGCCTTGTCATCAGCAGAGCATTGGTGTGAAAGCTCATCTGTAATCTCATGAGATCTCAGGGAAAGACATTTTCCTCCCCGGAGAGGATGTCTCACATCACACTTGTGTCATGTGGTGGCCATGGCTGGCTGACAGATAAAAGGGGGGTTCACAGGGCGGCATGGCAGAGGACAGAAGGCAGAGCAGATACCCTTCATCCTCTCCATGGTTCGATTTGAGACTGGTGAGTATAGGTGGAGACTCGGCGGTGCTGCCAGCTAAAGCGAGGTCTGCTCTGGAGTGTTGGGTGGGCCTCTCTACAGCAGTGAAAAGGGGCAGAATCTGTGACTGACAATATAGTGAGCTCTCAATTACAGCACGTGTGGCAGGCCAGCCCAAATATACAGTATCTTACTGCGAGGGGAGCCAACAGACCCCACCCATCAGTTTTTAGGCCAATTTTCCCTATTCTCTCTTGTGGGTCTGTCCACCCCTGTACAAGTACCATTTTAGAATGACAAGCCATGGTGAAAGGAAGGTGAGAGGTTATATTTAATTTTGTAGCACTCCTAATAATCAAGTAATTAGGACACACGGAATGTACAGTATTTAAAGTCTAGTTTATTGTATCTCTTTTCATAAAATGCATTCAGTTCTAAGTATTGCTTTATTAACAAAATGATTCAACCAGTAGATCAAGAAACACATTTGATCTATAGTTGCAAAATTATAACTTATAAAATATATAATACCTCATTCATAAATTGTAGGTATATACACTATTTGTAATTTTTACACTGGTCGTCATAGATTTGGTTTAAAATTCATTTTGCTTTTATATTCATCATATTTGTTTCATGTTACAATCTATCAAATTGTAGAAAAATGTGCAATTGCGTGCGTGCACATAAGTGTATTTGTGAGCTTTCTACTTGCCAAAATATGCCAATCTTTCCTACAGTGGTGCCATGTTGATGCAGAGTTGGTTTCCAAAGCAGACTGAGGGTGAATGACAGTTTGTTTGATCTGTTTGTATGCATTGTTTGAAGTGGTTGATTAATATTTAGGCGAAAGGGAAAAATGTTATACCAGTTCAAATGACGAAAACCCTGCAGGCTTCTTTGACAACTGTGGACTAAACCACAGCCTACACTTATTGCCATGAATTGACTGTACCTGTACTGACCATACTGAACTGCAGTATGCTAGACACATTCCTATACCACCACTTTTACCTTTTAGAAATATATACTTTTTGTAGACTTATATCAGTTTTGGTATTTTACAATTTTTTTTAAATAACTATCTTGCATAGTTTGAACCTAAAAATGGTCATAGAAACTATATTGAATTTCAATATGTCTACACAATCTGAATACCAACCTTGTACTTTATTTTCCGATCAGTGCTAGACAAGCATGCTAGCACTAGGTAGGTATAGGCATGAATGTCTTTGTTCTCAGCAGACACACAAGGTGTCCTCTGTATCTTTGCAGGATTCCCATGAGTCCAAACTGACCTTAAAGTGGTCTTTCCATATCTAAGGTAACCATACTGCTGAAGTGCTGTGACAACCTAAAAATAAATTGCTTTGCCCTTGTGGAGGCTCTTGGATTTCTAGTCAGTGCAGTATACAGGGCTTCCACTTCTGTTGCCATTAAGTCCTGCCCACTAGCACTCGCAGAATGGGTGGGGGGATTAGTGTCAGGAACGTGCATGGTTTGATGCTAACTTAGACAGAAGCCAGGGCCCTATAAATTGCCTGGACCTGCAATTCAAAGAATTCTACAGGGACAAAGGAATTACTTTGTCCACTAGAGTGGGAAGGATGAAAGTGGAGTAAGTCATTCATTTTGGGGAGGCATTGAATTCTAATCTTCTACAACTTAGTTTCCACGTATGTACCTAAATATGTACTCCTGGCGGAGTATTCATGTTATTGTCAGTGAAAAAAGGAGTTTGGAGGAGGAGAGAGATACAGGTACCTGTAAGATTGAAGTTTCCACCCAAGAAACTGTCAACCAGTGGTTGTCTACTGCTCAACACAGTCATGATTGCAGCTGTGTTCTAATGTCTACACCATTTCTTTAAGACTACTTTCAGTAGATTTAACCAGCTACTATCAACATATATATATAAATACATACATTGCAAAACACATATAATGTATGTGATCCTATGTGCATTGTTGTATACATACCCAAACAACAAGCTTGCTCAGTAAAAAAACATGTACTTTATCACACATAGAAACCAGCACTGAGCAATTGAGATAGGTTACACTCCTCTATTTGATACTACCTGCAATATTGACTTGTTCTGGGGACCCCAAGACAGAAGAACTATTCTGTGCATAAAAAAATATATGTTGCAGGACTACAAGGATTAGTTTTTTAAAATTTTTAAATGCTTTTAAGTACATATGTGTAAAGTACATGTTTTTAACTGATCTAGCAAGTTGCTTGGGTAAAAAGTCTATATACAATAATACACATAAACGTCTTAAGACGCCCACCCGCTCTGAGCAGACTTCCGTCCGGCCGTTCACGAACGGCCATGGACGGAAGGTGGTTAAAGAAACTGTGTATTTATATCTCTGGCCATATCTCTTGTGTTCATGCTAGAGTTTACCCCTTACTACTATCCTTGGCCTTGTGACGAGCAGCCTCACTGGAAAATGGAGATATATAGAGAACAAAGAAAGAGGCAGGCCACAGCTCAATTATGAGAGATCTACAGCAGTTAATGTTTATAAATACAAAATTGTTCAGTGGAAGAGTGTGCATGGGCACCTCCTGATGTGACCTTGTTCATTTTAAAATTCCTACAGGTTTGCTTTAAGACACTAAGATGATATTATTTTACTGGACAATTACACAGTGGCTAGGAGTATGGCTCTCCCATGGGAATGAATAGGGCCATGGCACCCATGTTCAATAAGAGGAGGACCCAGTGGAGACATTTTCCAAGCAATGGCTGTGTGGCTCCAGGCTGGGCTTCACATTAATTATTGTTGGAAAAGCACAGTTGTCCTATAAAACATTTATTGGCATTACACTGATACCTCATAATACATACATAATAAATACCTAATACTTTCTTTTGAGGTTGGATCAGAATGTGCAGGAAACATTAATTTGCTCAGCTTTGCCCTACCCTGTGTGAACTTGTTGATGTGTAAGTAATTCAAAATATATCTCTAGAAGCCCTGTGCTTTCATATGTAGCATGCTTTTTGATAGTTTTGTTCATATTTTTCAGTGTCTCCTATTTCCATAAGAACACATTTTAAACCCTGTTACAAGTCTTTGTGTGTTTTACAGCAATGCTTCTTGAAGGTTGCAGTAAATGGATGGCAATGCGCTAAGAAATGTGGACAAATTGTTGGATAATTTAGAAACATTGTTCTACAAGTCTTCACTTCTATAATTAGTATAAAATGAGTTGGTCATTATGCATCAAACAAAATTGTTCTACACTCGTCCATTAAACACAAGCTGTGTTCCTCCGTTACTGATGTTTTCAATGGTTTCCTGATAAAACAAAGAGAGAAAAAGTGGTTAACGATCGTTTGCTCAGCAATTGTCATAGTTTTAATACAAAAACATTTTAATTTGATATGGATATACAAGTGTTTTCACCTTGCATTTGAAGAAGAATGCTGCTTGTAACTTGGACAGAATCTTAATTTTATATGATTGGTGGGAGATTCTCATAATCAGATATGTATGTATATGTATATATATATTTTTAATGATATACATATATATATATA